AAAAACTGAAAATTTTTTCATAAAAATTCTGGGCTTCCATCTGCTCTCTTAAGGAGCTCTGATGGCTCTGTGGTTAAAGCACTGGGCTGCTATCTAAAAGGCCAGCAGTTCAAACCCACTAGCTGCTCCATGGGAAAAAGATTTTCCGTAAAAATTTACAGCCTTGGGAATTTGCTCTGTAAACTTTCACCCAAATCACAATAAAAAATAATTTTTTAAAAAATGTATAGCCTTGGAAATCCTATAGAGCAGTTCTACTCTGCCCTAAAAGGGTCACTATGAATCAGAAACAACTAGATAGCAGTGGGTTTGGTTTTTCCTCTGCTCTTAAAAAGCCAAGTGGCTGCAGGGCCACACTTCAGATGAGTAGCCTCTTCTGTAAGCTTGTTGTTGTTATGTGCCATTGAGTTGGACTCGACTCATAGCGACCCCTCCTTGGGTTGCCAAGGCGGTATCACTACGGAAGTAGATTGCCCAACCTTCCTTTCGAGGAGTGGCTGGTGGGTTTGAACCACCAGCCTTCTGGTTAGCAGTCAAGTGCCTTAGGCACTATGCTACCAGGACTCCCTCTGTAAGCTAGGTATGCTTTTTTTTCCAGTTTGCCACAGTCCCCACACAACTTTGCTCATTGAAAGTGAGGATGACTTTGAAGCATTTATTGATGAAGGTTAAAGACTACAGTCTGCAGTATGCATTACACATCAATATAAAGAAAACAAAAATCCTCACAACTGGACCAATAAGCAACATATGATAAATGGGGAAAAGATTGAAGTTGTCAAAGACGTCATATTACTTGGTTCTACAATCAGCACCAATCGAAGCAGCAATCAAGACATCAAAAGAGATATTGCATTGGGCAAATATGCTGCAAAAGACCTCTTTCAAGTGCTGAAGAGCAAAGATATCTCCTTGAAGACTAGGATGTGCCTAACCCAAGCCACGGTATTTTCAATCGCCTCATATGCATATGAAACCTGGACAACAAATAAGGAATACTGAAGAAGAGTTGATGCTTTTGAGTTGTGGTGTTGGTGAAGAGTGCTGAAACTACCATGGACTGCCAAAAAACTAACAAATCTGTCCTGGAAAAAGTGCAGCCAGAATGCTCCTTGGAAATGAGAATGGCCAGACTCATCTCACCTACTTTGGTCATGTTGTTAGAAGGGACCATTCTCTGGAGAAGGATGTCATGCTTGGTAAAGCAGAGGGTCAGTGGAAGAGGGGAAGGCCCTCAATGAGATGGACTGACACAGTGGCTGCAGTGATGGGCTCAGGTGTAGTAGGGATCGTGAGGCTGACACAGGACCAGGCAGTTTTTCATTCTGTTGTACATAAGGTCACTATGAGTCAGAGATGACTTGACGGACTATAACACCACCAACAATCTCCACCACTCCCTCTTGTCTTCTCCAACTCCTACTTAGTGTCAGCTGCCCTTTATCCTCCATTCACACCCACAGCTTTAACCCCTATTCCGGACTGATTTAGGCTAATTTGTTTTCAAGATGCCTACTGCCCTGGCTGAGGTCTCTCTCTGGTGCACAGTTAGCTCCAACTGCATTGGGACCTGGCTGGGGTCTGTTCTGAGCCAGGGAGACCCCAAATCAATGAAGGAACTGGGAAAGATGGGAGCAGCTGAGAGATGGTGCAGTTGGCAGTGGGAGGAAAAGATGCTTGTCTACTAACTTAAAGGCTGACAGTTTGAACCCACTCAGTGGTGCCAAGGAAGAAAGGCCTGGAAATTTGCTTCTGTAAAGATTACAGTCAAGAAAAGTCTATGGAGCAGTTCTACCCTGTAACACATGGGGTTGTCATGATTCGGAATCCACTTGATGGCAATAGGTTTGTTTTTCTTGGTAGGTGGTTTCTAAGAGTCTGGAGTTTGTCTTCTTACCTCAATGCTACCCACCAACCACTGCCACAGAGAAGCAGCAGAGCCAACATCAGAAGCTAGGAGCAGTGGAAATGGGGAAAATGGAACAGACTGGAAGATTGGGCAGGGAGAAGGGCAGCCCAGGAATCAAAGACGCAGCAGCAGGGGACGAGGTGAGGAGGCAAGGAAGGTGAGACAGGTGAGATGAGGTAAAGAGAGATGACCAACCAGGAGATGAGGCAGGGGAGGTGAAGCTGATAGATCCACAGAGTCCTAGATCTCTCTAATCTCAGATTCATAATCTAGGGAGGAGAAAACCCTAAAAGTCCCTAGGATCCTCCATCTCTGAATCCCAGGACACCTGGCAGCAGCTGAGAGGTTGGGTGAGGAATACAAACAAGACCATGACTCAGTGCCCAGGCCCTCCCTCAAGAGATCCCGGGTAGCTGGGGACACACCCTCCTCCCCGGACAGCAGGGCCACTGAGTGCCTCCCAGGGCCCTGCCTGTGGCTGGAGCTGCCCCTGGGGTGTGGGAAGAAGCACCCTGAATTCTTGCATCCTCTGCAAATTAGCAAATTCAACTCTCTTCCCCCACTCAGAGCCCCAAACAAAAAGAGGTAGGAGGGCCAGCCTGGCCCTTTGTTAGGGGAAATTTATTAATATCCGAAATATGCAGGGCCCTTCCCTTCCACCTCCAATCAAAGCCTTTGCAAACACCTGGACTTCGCATTTAAAAGGCCCTGGAGCTTTTATATGACAGGGTCCTGCTGGGAGGAGGCAGAGGGAGCCTGGGAAACTCTTGACTCCTCCCAGCCCTGGTCTTCCAACTTGGCCTTCACCTGTGTGTGTGTGTGTGTGTGTGTGTGTGTAGAGTTGAGGAGGAGCCAGAGGGGAAAAGCAAGCTGTCCAGTGCAGAGAAAAGGAAAACGCTGGTGTGCCCATGGTTGTCCCCTAGCTCTGCCCCATGGCTAGGTAACCTTAGTCTCTTCCCCTCTCTGGACCTCAGTTTGCACATAGGTATATGGTGGTACGGGAACTCTGGTAGTGTAGTGCCTAAGACACTTGACTGCTATCAGGAGGCTGGCAGTTCAAACCCACCAGCCACTCCTCGGAAGGAAGGTTGGGCAATCTACTTCCATAGTGATACTGCCTCGGAAACCCAAGGAGGGGTCGCTATGAGTTGAGTCTAACTCGACGGCACATAACAACAACATATGGTGGTACACATGGTTTGTGCTTGTCTACTAACTTAAAGGCTGGCAGTTTGAACCCACTCAGTGGTGCCAAGGAAGAAAGGCCTGGAGATTTGCTTCTGTAAAGATTATAGTCAAGAAAAGTCTATGGAGCAGTTCTACCCTGTGACACATGGGGTTGTCATGATTCGAAATCCACTTGATGGCAATGGGTTTGTTTTTCTTGGTAGGTGGTTTCTAAGAGTCTGGAGTTTGTCTTCTTTCCTCAATGCTACCCACCAACCACTGCCACAGAGAAGCAGCAGAGCCAACATCAGAAGCCAGAAGTGCTGAGAAAGGAGGTAGATGAGTCTCCATTTTCTGTTTGTCAAGCGGGAGCTGGAAAGCCCTATGCTGCCCACCTTGTGCCCCTCCATGGTAAGGCTCCCAGGAGACAGCGCAGGGACAACGACCTCGTCTGGTGTTTATTAACGATGAACCAACAGAACACTGGTAGGGGAGACACCAGGAGAGAGAGTTGCAGAAGTGGGGGAAGGACCCATGGGCCGCAGCTGAGAGGATGTCCTGCTGCTCTGGAGAACTCCTTGTATGTGAGGCCTGGCCAGGCCCTTTCCACCCTCACTGTCTTCTCTCAGGGAAGGAGGTACTCAAGGGCAGCCCACCAACACACACCACCTGAGGGTTGAAGGTGCCAAGGCCTCTGGCCACAGTCCTGGAATGCGAGCTGCTCTCTTCTCTCTGCCTCCACCCTCTGCACATGGCCCAAGGTGGGTGGCGTCAGATACAAACCATCTCTGAGTCTCTTAGATGCCCACCCCTGTCATTTACAGGAAAGGTCAGCTTCCCAGCAGTGCTTGGAGTTGGAGCAAGGGCCTGGGACAAGGGAGTGAGGATGATAGGGGCCCTGGGTCTCAACTACGACCCCATATTCTGACCTCTGCAACTTGTGCAGTGGCAGTGAGGCCACCTCCCTCTTCTTCCTAAACATGACCCAGGGCTCCCTGCCCCCTCCGCCCAGGGCTGTGACCCAGTAAATGATCACACACCTACCCCACCCCATCCCATGCCCTCCAGCTCAGGCCACCAGCACCTCTTACCTGTTCCCCACAGACCTCCCGCCTCCCCACACCCCCAACTAATCCACCCAGCACACAGTCCCAGAATGATATTCCATAGAAAGCCCAACCAGATCATGCAAATACCCTGCCCACCTGCCCCCGGGTCCCCATTCCCCATCCACTCTTCACTCAGTGAAAAGCTTCTTGTCACCTGGTAACACCAACTCCACCAGCCACTCTGGCCCCAGCAGGTCATTGGGGCCACGCTCCGCACCCAGAGGCCCATCACACCCTGTCCTCTTCTTTTCTCCAACTCTTCCCCTCCTCCAGGGTTACCTAAGTTCCACCTCCTTCAACACAGCCGGTGCACATGAACCCCAGGAGCTTTCCCCACTGAACTACCTAACCCTCAATGCCGGGACTTCTGCCTGGGAGCCTCGGCCACACTGAATCTCCCCACCCCAGCCCTGGTTGTGCTGAAGTGTGCGGGAACAGGCTCCGCAGAGAAAAGAGGGGGTTCTGTCCTAAACAGAGATGAGTGATGCCACATGGGAAAGGGAGCTGGCTGGGCAAAAGGCCTGGGGTTAATTCTCTGCCATGTGGCCTTGGGCAAGTCCCCTCTCCCCAGCCTCAGTCTGTCCATTTATGGAGTGGGAGTTGGGCTGGATCATCCTCGGCTTTGAATGGGTGTGTGTGTGTACGCGCGTGTGTGTGCGTGTGCGTATGTGTATGTAGAAGGGTGACAGGTTTCAGAAGAGGCAGAGATCACAGGAGGAATTTGAACCGGAGGGACACGGCAACCTCCCACAGTCGCTGGCCTCTCTGAACACCAGAGGGCGCAGCTGCCACGCACAGCCCCGGGACTGGACTGCCAGGGCCTTCATCTGCCTAAAGGCAACTGCCAGCCGCCTCACATCATGGACTCCTCCTCCTCCGCGATCTCGCGGTCCACTTCAATAGCTGTATTCTCGAAGCTGGTGATACCACCATACTTGCGCATGTGCACCATCAGAGGCTTGGGCGACTGGCTTCCGGCCAGCGTGGCCACATACATGCCTGTCCGGTTTTCCTCCAGCGATGGGCCCCAGTCCATGGCCGGCCGGCTGGCCTGCTGGAGCCGCTGTGGGCAGAGAACAACAATGATGAAATCAGCGATATTCGGGGAGCACTTATTGCGGCCAGGCACCCTGCCAAGACCTGACCACCTACTGAGTCCTTGCAGCAACGCTGAGGGGCTGGAGGTGGCACCATTACCTCCCTAGGGGCAGAGTCGAGATCACGCCTTGATGTGAATCTTACTCAGCCACTCAGGACACATGGGCAGAATACGTAATTTCTCAGTGCTCTGCTTCCTCCTCTTTAAATTGTGAGTAATGATCCCCTCATAGGGCTGTATAAAAGTCTCTGGATAGCACAAATGGTTAAGCACTTGACTACTAACCGGAAGGTTGGTGGTTCAAACCCACTCAGAGTCTTCTTGGAAGTAAGGCCTGGTGATCTGCTCCCAAAACGTCACAACCTTGAAAATTCTATGGAATGTGGTTTGCTTTTACCCTGCCCATATGGGGTCACCAAGAGTCCAAATTGACTTGACAGCAACTAATAACAACATATGGCTGTTGAGGACAATGAGATGATGCACTTAGCACAGTGGCTGGGTGGCTGTTGTTATCTGTTGTTGACTCAGTCCCTAACTCATGACCACTCATGCACAATGGGATCAGACCATTGTGACCCATAGGGCTTTCACTGGCTCTTATTCCTATTATTTTCCATTTGATTTTTGGAATCAGATTACTAACCTTTCTTCCTAGTCCATCTTATTCTGGAAGCTCTGCTGAAGCCTGTCAGATCCCAGCAACACACACAGCACTGCCGACAGACCCGTGCTGGCTGTGCACCAGGTGCACTGACTGGGACTTGAACCCAGTCTCCTGTATGGAAGGCGGGAATTCTGCCACTGAGTCCCCACTGCTCCCCAGAACAGCTCAGGAGCCAGATAAATGGTGGATTTTGTTATAACTGCATGGTAGTGGGCCCTCCTCTGAGCACCAGAAGGTCAATCCAGGAGCTTACTCTGGGTCCCCTTCCCCTAAACGGTGAGCACTAAGGGCTGGAGGCTTTTGGGAAAGAGTCCTGGAATGAGATGGGGACAGCAGCTGGCCTCCTGGGTCCCTTCCATCCCTGACATTCTGTCTTGTTCTGACTCTGATGTCTCATGTCCCCTTTCTAAGCCCCAGTTTGCATGGAAGGAGGGAGCTGACCAAGAGGATGACTAACTCTGGACCTTCTAGGAGTTCCTTTTTCTCAGACCTCATACCACATTCCCTAAGCCCACTGCCTGTGCTGCCAGGGAAGAGAGCTCTCAGGCCCTTTACAGAAATGGAGGCAACTAGCATTAAATGGAGCCCTACTGGGTAGTGCTTGCAAGAGAGAAGGTGGGTCATGCCCTTAGCCAGGGTCTAGCATAGTTTATACAGGAAGCATGGCGGTATTTACTAAAACTTATTAACAACATGTTACTCCACTGCTCAGAAGGTTACTAGGATTTTCTCATCTCACTTTGAATAAAATCTAAAGTGCTCACATGACCCACATGGCCCCCACTGCCCTCCCTCCACTCACTCTGCCCTAGTCACCCGGGCCAGCTTGTTGTTCTCAAACAGGCAGCTCCTCTTGCCCCAGGGACTTTACTTGGGTTGGCCCTTTTGCCTGGAATGCTCTCCCCCTAATATCCACATGGATCACCCTGTCCTTTTAGTCAAGTCTCTGTCACCTCCTTAGAGAGACCTTCTCTGACTACCTTTGCTGAAATACCATCCTCCATCACTCTATTTCTATACTGTTGTTTTTTTTTTTTTAATATAACACTTCTTAGTACTTCTATGCATTTATTTGTATTGCCTGCCTCTTGCATTAAAATACAAGCTCCTTGAGAGTAAGCACTTGGATTTGTTTCCAGCTGAACTGAACACTAGGGCCTAGACAGATGGTTGGTTTCTCAATCTGTGCACCACTCACACATCAGGCTAGATCATTCTTTTTTTTAATGCATTTTATTGAAATATAATTTATGTACAGTGAAATACACAAAACTAAAGTGACATGGGTCAATGCATTTTTTTTTTTTTTTTGCAGTGTTCCCTCCCCTCCTCTCTCACCCCTGGCAACCAACAAAGAAAGTTTCCCTCCATATATAAACCTTTTCTTGACCCTCCTCAACAATGAACTAATACTATATCTGTCCTTCTGTGATTGACTTATGTCACTCAGCATAATGTCCTCTAAGTTCATCCATATTATGTGGTGTTTTGTAGACTCTACATTATTCTTTAGTGCTGCATAGCATTCCAGTATGTGTATGTTCCATAGTTTAGTCATCCACTCTTCTGATGGGCACGTAGGTTGTTTCTATCTTTTTGCTATTGTAAAAAGTACTGCGATGAACATGAATGTGCATATGTCTGTTCCTATCCTGGCTTTCACCTCTCTAGGATATATACCTAGTAATGGGATTGCTGGGTCAAATGGTATCTCCAATTCCAGCTTTCTAAGGGATCGCCATATTGCTTTCCACAGTGGTTGTATCACTTCACAGTGCCACCAGCAGTGTATGGGGGTCCCAATCTCTCCACATCCCCGCCAGCATTTGTGATTTTCTGTCTCATTGAACCTTGCCATCAGTGCTGGGGTGCGATGGTATCTCATTGTTGTTTTGATTTGTATCTCTCTGATAGCCAATGATCGTGAGCATCTCTTCATGTATTTGCTGGCCACCTGAATATCCTCCTTGGTGGAGTGTCTATTCATGTCTTCTGCCCATTTTTCAACTGGATTATTAATTCCTTTGCTGTTGAGGCATTGGAGTTTTCTATAAATCTTGGAGATAAGTCCCTTGCCAGATATGTAATTATTGGCAAATGTGACTTTGTTGCTGTCATTTTTGTTATGTGCTATTTCATGGTATCGATTTCTTTGTTCCATGTAATTTTCTATTCTGAGCTCATTTTGTTTATGAATCGTGTTATCACTTCCTTCATTGCTATTTGTTGTTGTTGTTGTTGTTATGTGCCGTCAAGTCGGCCCCGACTCATAGCGACCCCTCCTTGGGTTTCCGAGGCAGTATCACTACGGAAGTAGGATTGCCCAACCTTCCTTCCGAGGAGTGGCTGGTGGGTTTGAACCACCAGCCGTCTGGTTAGCAGGCAACTGTCTTAGCCACTATGCTACCAGAGCTCATTGCTATTTAGTGTTTGCTAAATATTTGTGCTGGTCCTCTTTCTTATTTCGATGTGAAGGTTTGTCCTTTTTCTTTGCGGTTATCCTGTGATTTATAGTTTTCTTCCCAAGTTTAGAATAGTCTGTTCTATCTTGTAGTTGTCTTGAGTTCCCTACCATCTAGAAATTCTGTAATGACACAGTTTTTTCCCTCTTTTTGGTTTGTAGTTGTCCTCATTTGTTAATTGATGTCTCTGGTTCACAATCTTGTAGGCTTTTCACAATCTTGTATACTTCCATAGCTGGGTTGGTTTCTGGATTATATCATCATGTGTGTTAATGGTCAGTTGTTGTCGGTTGTTCTTGCTTCTCTGTCGAAAGGGCTCCCTTTAGCATCTCTTGTAAGGTTGGTCTGGTTTTAACAAATTTCCTTAATTTCTGCTTATCTGAAAATGTCCTAATTTCGCCATCATATTTGAGGGACAATTTTGCTGGGTACATAATTCTTGGTTGGAAATTTTTCTCTTTCAGGGTTTGATATATACCATCCCATTGTCTTCTTGCCTGCATGGTTTCTGTCGGGAAATCCGAGCTTAGTTTTATTGGCTGCCTCTTGTAGGTAACTTTTCGTTTTTCCTGTGCTGCTCTCATGATTCTTTCTTTGTCTTTGGTTTTGGTGAGTTTGATGATGATATGTCTGGGTGATTTTCTTTGGGGGTCTATCCTGTTTGGGGTTTGTTGGACTTCCTGAATGGATAAATTCTCATCTTTCATCATACCAGGAAAATTCTCTTCCAACAAATCTTCGACAATTTTCCTTGTGGAAATTTGTCTCTTCCTGTTCTGGAATTCTGATTACATGTAGGTTATTCCTTTTGATGGCATCCCACATGAACCTTAGGCTTTCTTCACTTTGTTTTGATCTTTTTTTACTGATTTATCCCTTTCCAAAGAAGTGTTCAGGTATTTGCCTTCAATCTCCCTAATTCTGCCTGTCATTGATTCAATTCTACTCTTTGCTCATTCAATGTGTTACCTAGTTCTGAAAATTTAGTATTAATTTTCTGGATTTCTCTGTGTAGATTTTGTGTAATTTCTAATTTTTCATTTACTTTGTCATTTTGTTCTTGTATTTTCTTTCGAAATTGTTCTAGGGTTTTCTCTGTGTTTTCCTCAATTTTGTCAGTGTTTTCCTTGATCTATCTCTCAATTCATTGAAGATACCTAAATATAATTCTTTTGATTCCTTATCAGGGAGTTCCAATGCTACATCTTCCTCAGGGATGTGTTTTGGGTCTGTAACCTGGTCCCTTGTTTCTTCCGCTTTATCTTGCTTCTTTGTGTGGACTGTGATGCTCTGTTGTTTCTGAGGCATTGTGACGTTTTCATGTTTACATTTAATTGGTGATTGTATGTTGGAGTGACTTGCCCATGATTTTTGTTTTCTTTGTATGTTATCTACTTAAGCAGGGTGCTGTGCTCCTCTATTCACTAGTTGACAGCACTTATACACTCACCACCTGTCTTCTTTCCTGTTGTCAGCCTCTTATATTTCCCTGCTGATCTTGGCAAACAGAGCCTATTCTTGGGTCCCTGGAATCCAAATGAGAATGCTGTCACTTTAAAATCCAAAATGGCTGCCACTTGGATTCAAAATTCAAAGATTCAAAATGGCTGTGCCCTCAGTCACTTTATATATCCAAAATGGCCACCACTTATAAACATTCAAAATGGCTGCACCCTTAGTCACTTTAAATATCCAAAATGGCTGTCGCATGTAAACTATCAAAATGGCTGCATCCTCTGGACAGCAGAAAGTCCACAGCTCAGGTTGTCTCCCTCCTTGCTGTTTCCCTTCCTAGTCATAGGCCATCAGTATAGTCGTCCCTGCAGCCCTTGGTGACCAGGGCTGATCTTTAGGTCAATTCTCAGGTCCCAACACCACTTGGAGATATTCAGGCTGCTGGTCCCATCAGAATAGCTGGCAGTCCGCAGCTCCAACCGTCTCAGTACTCACTGTTTTCATTCAGGTTTTTCCACTAGTTGGTGCCTAATCCACTTCTGTATAGTTCCTTTCAAAGCTCAGGGCTCTGGGATTATCTTCTGTATCTCTGTCAATTGGTTTTTCTTTTCTTTGTTGAAGAGGGTCTGTGTCGCTTGTCTGCCTATTCCTCCATCTTACTGGAACTAGATAATTCTTTTATAAGGAGCTCTAGTGGCATAGTGCCTAAGGCATTTGACTGCTAACCAGAAGGTTGGCAGTTCAAACCTACCAGCCACTCCGCAGAAGGAAGACTGGGAAATCTGCTTCTTTACCACCTCGGAAACCCAAAGGGCATCACAATGAGTCAGAATTGACTTGATAGCAGTGAGTTTGGTTTTGGTTTTGTAATTCTTTATATGGGGGCTGTTCTGTGCATTAAATAATGTTTAGCAGCATCCCTGACCTCCAGCCACTAGAAACCAATAGCATACCTCGCACTGCCCTCCCCATTATAACTGCAAATTGTCCAGGCCATGCACAGTGTCCTATGGAGGTAAAATCACCCCCAGTGAGAATTCTTGGCCTAGAACTGAGTCCTCACTATGTGCCATCTCCGAGATAAGTGTTGATTCATTAATCTCTACATTATCCCTATACTATCAGTTCCCATTGAATTCATTCCGACCGTGTGTGTGTAGAACTATGCTCCCTAGGGCTTTTAGTCGCTGATCTTTCAGAAGTACATAGCCAAGCCTTTCTTCTGAGGAGTCTCTGGGTGGATTTGAACCTCCAGCCTTTTGGTTAGCAGCCAAGCATGTTAACTGTTTGCATCACCCATGGACTCCACATCCCTATGATGACAGTCAAAAAAACAAACAAAAAAAACCAAGCTCACTGCCATTGAGTCGATTCCTACTCATAGTCATCCCCTTTGGGTTTACGAGGCATCAAATCTTCATGGAAGTAGATTGCCCAGTCTTCCTTCCGCAAAGTGGCTGGTGGGTTTGAACCACCAACCTTCTAGTTAGCAGTCAAAGAATACTGTTACTTTTATCCTCTACCTCCACAGATATTATCTGAAAGTAAAGCTCAGAGAGGCCAGTTAAGTTGGCCAAGGTCACAAAGGTAGGACATGGTGGCACTGGGACTTGAACCCATGCAGTCTGACCCTATCCTGGACTTTCAATTCTGTTTGTTTTTCTGCCTCCTACAATGCTAAGTATGTTGATGAGCTCATTTCCTTCTTACAGCAACCCTACTGGTAGGTATTACTGTCCCCATTTTAAAGATGGAGACACTGAGGTTCAGAGAAGTACTACTGTAACTTTCGTAGGGTCATGCTGCTGCACATGGCAGAACCTGGATTCGGCTCCTAGTGAGTCAGTGCTGGCAGCCCTTTGCAATGCTCACCCCATATGCTCAACAGCTTGCCCCAGTGGGTGCTGGGGCTCCCAGCAATCCCAGCTGCTCACTAGCAAGGCTTGAAGACCATTACCCTCCTGGGAGCTGGAGCCTCCCTGCTGGAGTAACTCCCCACCCCCAAGACACCAGGACGCCCTCTCCTCCTTCGCTTTATGGACACCCTGGCTCTCAACCAAGGAGGCAAGCCCCCATTTAGTAACACAGGTGGGATTCCTGAGGCTCAAAGAAGGGTTTGCCCCAAGTCACACAGCAGTTGGAGGCAGAGCAGTGGCTGAACTCAGGGCATGGTCTGGGGGACATGGCCACAGCCGTTTCTGCTAGGGCCAAGGAAGAGCCCTAAGCTGCTCCTGACTGGGATATGAAGGGGTAAGAGATGTAGCCGAGGGGTAGTGGAGCTGTATGGAGGAGGGTAAGCTGATTAGGGGTCTGATTGGTACTTGCCAATTTCCCTGGTATAAATATTCCCACTGTGGGAAGCTGCTTGCTATCAATGGTTTAAAAACCATTCACAACATTCCTAAATAATGATCAGTTAGCCATCTTGAGTCTATACTAACTGTCACTGCTGTCAGATTGGATTGAACTCATAGTGACCTCTCCTTGGGTTTCAGAGGCAGTATCACTACAGAAGTAGATTGCCCAATCTTCATTCTGAGGAGTGGCTGGTGGGTTTGAACCGCCAGCTTTCTGGTTAGCAGTCAAGTGCCTTAGGCACTATGCTACCAGAATCTATACTTGTTGTTGTTGTTGTTATGTGCCGTCAAGTCGGCCCCGACTCATAGCGACCCCTCCTTGGGTTTCCGAGGCAGTATCACTACGGAAGTAGGATTGCCCAACCTTCCTTCCGAGGAGTGGCTGGTGGGTTTGAACCGCCAGCCGTCTGGTTAGCAGGCAAGTGTCTTAGCCACTATGCTACCAGAGCTCACAGAATCTATACTAGCTGGTTCCAATCCTAGAGGTTCTTAGGCTCTCTCCAGGCCCCAGCAGGCTTACTCCAGGACCACCCACCATGACTCTTGCCACCAGAGGGCTCCACACTCAAGGCCACAGAAGTGGAAGGTCCATGTACAGAAGGCACCCCTCATCCCACTTTTAGGAGGCTCAGAGAGGGGCCGGATCTCATGGTGGTTACACAGTATGTCAGCGGGCCCACAAAGGGTTATTACTCCCCTTTTCCAAGGCTGCAGATCCCCACACCAAACAGTTTGCACTTTCTAAGCTTTCTGGGTCTCTCCACAAAGCCCTAGCCATGGGCTGTTCTCACACCATCATTCCATCCCAGGCCACCCATGGGTCAAAGCAGGGTTCCTGGGTAGGAGGAAGGTGATACACCACTCCCAGGGGTCCCTCAATGTTGAGTCCCAAAGGGAACTCTGGGCTGGTGACCCAAGTTTGAATCCTGATCTGGGCTTCATTCACTGTGGAACTTTGGGTAAGTCCTTTGTCCTTGTAGGTTTCCCAAGACATGTGAAGATTGGCCAGCATCAGCATTAGAAGCCCTGTGTGCTGTAAGGGGCCACAGGGCAGGCAAGTTTGAGCTGATTGATAGCTCAGGTTACTGGTTAGAAAAAAGGGTTCAGGCTAAAAGAAACTTGCAAAGGCCTGGATAATGTGTTGGTGCAGATGTTTTCTGTTCTATTGGGTGAGGGCAGGGTAATAGCACAGGTTGAGGGGGCTGGGGATGGAGAGGAGTGGAGAGACTCACCTCCCAGAGTGAGCCCTCCTCTCGGAGCACAGCCACCAGCATGCCAGCTGGGATCATGAGGCAGGACAGCAGGCCCATCAGGATGCCCAGGAGCTCCGCCCAGGCTGGGAAGCGGTAGCTGCCGTACTCTGAGGGCTGGTATTTGATGATGCTGTATACCAGCAGGGCCTGCAGAGTGAGGGGATGCAGCATCACAGCAGGTCATAGGCAGGCCCCAGGGCTTGGGATAGCCCAGGTCTGAGTTAACTTAAGGCCTAAAGCCATCCCTAAGAGACCCCAGCTCAGAGTCACCCAGTGTCTGAGAAGGCCCAGTCCTAAGTTGCACCAGAACCTGAGATGGTCCAGGCCTAGGGTCTTTGCAAGGCCTAAGAGCCTAGCTCTGAATAACCCAACTGCCTGAGATGTCCTCCCCCTAAGCTGCTCTAACCCTGAGAAAGTGCGGCCCCACGGCCTCAGCCCTGAAGCCTGAGAAAGCTCCATGTATTTTGCCAACCAAGGAGCTAGGCCCAACACAGCTACAAAAAGGAGGGGAGTATCCCAGGATCCTGGTGCCCATCCACCTTGACAGAGACTCTACTCTGGGCCAGGGCAGCCCTACCAGACTGAATGCCCAGGGGGATGCCTGCTTTCAGCCCTGGCACCCCAGCAACCCTCCCTCCTACCCCAGTTACCAGGAGTGTGGCAGGGGACAGGAACAGCCAGCAGGCCCTGAAGTAGAGGCCGGGCTTGAATCCCAGCATCATGTGGATATCACGGCAGAACCTCTGGATACCTGGATACACAAGGGGAGGGGAGGAGGAATGGCCCCACCCATGGCCCCACCCATGGCCCCACCCATAGCCCCACAAGCACCAGCAGCCCCTCCTCTACCCCAGTTGCTTCCACTGGAAACCTTGGCCTTGGGGACCAGGGACTCCAGGAGAGACTCCCACTCACCCACTGTGGGACACCTGGCACTGCCTCCCACAGCCCTTCTCACCGTACACACGGGTGACAGCAAGGCACGTGGTGATCACTACCACCATTAGCCCGAAGCTGGCGCTGTAGTCATCCAGAAGGACCAGCCAGTACATGCCCCCCTGGAACACAAGTCACAGTTCTGGGGGCATCTCCCCAGCTTTTTTCTATGCTGCAGCCCCCTTCTTTAAACAGGAAGTGATCAGGCAAGTAGCCAGGTCAACTGGAGAACAAGATGATGCTGGTATGACAGCTGAGCCTTTTATAGGCACCATTGTATTCTATTTTCACAACAACCTATACACTGATTTCCCCATTTTATTGATGGGAAAAACCAGGCTCAGAGACATTAAGTCACTTGTCCTGAGGTCGCTCAGCAAGTGCAGAAGCAAAGTTTCTACCTAAGAAGTTCAGACTCCAAAGCTTGAACTTGTAATCACAAGGCTAAGCTGTTTCCACCTTGGGAAATTGTTGTTGTTGTTGTTATGTGCCGTCGAGTCAGCCCTGACTCATAGCGACCCCTCCTTGGGTTTCCGAGGCAGTATCACTACGGATGTTGGGTTTGCCCAACCTTCCTTCCGAGGAGTGGCTGGTGGGTTTGAACCGCCAGCCGTCTGGTTAGCAGGCAAGTGTCTTAGCCACTATGCTACCAGAGCTCCCTTGGGAAATAGGACCTCCCAAAGAGGAACATGTGGGTGGCTCAGTGTTTGTTCAGCCTGGCTCAGCATCTGCCCAGCCTCACCCTGGCTGGCTACCCCACTGCAGCACCACTCACATCCGTGGTAAGAATCAGCCCCATCAGGTACATGGCCACACAGATGAGCCCGGAGAACACGGCCTTCTTAGGCCGCAGGTAGTAGGGAAACTCGTCCGTCACAGCTGTCACGATGGTCTCCAGAAAGGCAAACTGTGGGTGGGGGGGGATGGATGGGGATCAGAATGTTGCTCCCACACACACACAGACACAGCACTCCCACATATGTATATGTACTCATATACTAACATTCACTCAACACACACATGCACTCACATATACACACACACATACACACAAACACACATCCACTGGCACGGAAAAGGCTTACCTGGCTGTCCAAGCCAAGAGTCAGAAGCATGAAGAAGAAGAGGAAGGACCAGAAGGGCGACAGAGGCAGCATGGTCATGGCCTGTGGATAGACAACAAAGGCCAGGCCAGGGCCTGGGACCAAGGGCACAAGGGGTCAGCAGCCTGGGGCACATGGAGGACCCCACATACACACTCACACATGTATAGTCATACCCACTTGGGCACACTCATTTAACAACCCAGAGATGTACACTCAGTGCACACTTCCTATAATTTCTCACTCCTAGGAGCCAGGCCGCACATTGTAAGTGCTCAAAAATCACAAGTCTGTAGAATAAATGAATTAATAATGAGCACATGAATAAACACAAAGCCCAAATCTAGAACCTCATTTGAATACACTTACGTATATAATCATTTGCACAAACAATTCCACTAACGTGTGTGTGTGTGTATATATATATATATATATATATATATCCATTGGCACAGCCACAGGACACACTGATTCACAAGGTCATTCGCATCTTCCATTCATTTGCATATAAACATTCTAACACAGGATATGACTCATTTGGATAAACAAGGCACAAACATAAGACAATCTCACACACAAACTGGTTGACCTCCTCACAGAGCTTAATGCACACTCATTCGCACATCCATCCCTTTGCACGTGGACACTGAGAGACCCACTAAGACACACTGGTTTTTGCACATGCATGTGTATATGTGTGTGTGTGTGCACGTGCACGCACGCGCACACACACACGTGGCATACTCATTATAACTTATTGGTCCACACATATGCTCACTTGCCTATCCCCAAATGTGTCCCAACACATACCCACACCCCACAGGACCTGGCAGCTTGCCCACCTGCTTTGGCTACTTGGTCCACAGGCACACCCAGCTCCTGAGACATGTAGCCCAGCACAGAGAAGATGGCGAAGCCAGCCAGAATGCTGGTGATGGCATTGCCCAGTGTGACGATGAAAGTGTCTCTGTCAGCAGAAGTCCAGGTACAGGTCAGGGTGAGCCAGTACCCCCACCTTCTTGACAGTCACTGTCCTCTCCCCCTCTCACCCCTGGGGTCCAGGAGGCTGTAGGCACTGACCTATAGATGTTCTGGTGAAATGTGTTGTAGGAGGCAAAGGTGAGGAGACCCCCAAAGCCCACACCCAGGGAGTAGAAGATCTGAAGGGCAGCCTCTATCCACACCTGTACCAAGGAAGGATGGAGAGGGAGGGCAAAGGGAAGGGTTGGTGGGCAGCAGTGTCCATGGGTCCAAGGAAAGAGAAGAGAGGGGGTGGGGTGAAAGACAGAGGACATGAGATGGCGAAGTGAAGATTCTGGCTGACAAGTCACATGGCTGGGAGCAAACCCCTGCTCCAACACTTGCACTGCAGGACTTGGGCAAGTACTTTCCCTTCTCTGGGCCTCAGTTTCCCTATTCAGGGCCTAGAGAATGATCCCTAAGCTTGGCTCAGTTCTGAAGGAAATATTGTTTAATGTAAATTTTTCAATAGATTCATCTTGACAGTAATACCATGTAACCTCTTTACTTCCTCCTTGGAGTCAGAGGGATGTAGACTTGGATCCCAGTTTCACACTTCCTAGCTGTACAGCCTGGGCAAGCCACATTGCCTCTCTGGACCTCAGGTGCCTCATCTGTAGTAGGGAGATAGTACTAGTGTCTATTTCATAGGATAGGACCAGTTGCTGTCCAATCGATTCTGAATCACAGCAACCCCATGTATATCAGAGCAGAACTGTGTTCCGTAGAGATTTCAAGTGTTGAGTTTTTGGAAGTAGATTGCCAGGACTTTCTTCCAAGCTACCTCTGAGTGGACTCAAAACACCAATCTTTCAGTTAGCAGCTGTCTCTGTAACCATTTGTACCACCCAAGGAATTTCACAGGGGGTAGTAAGGATTGAGTGACTAGATACATGCAAAGCGATAGAGCAGGGTCAGGCACACAGTCATGGTCAACAAATAAATGTTAGCTGTCATTATCATAAGGAGCTCTGGTGACACAGTGGTTAAGCATTCAGCTGCCAGCCAAAAGTTCAAACCCACCAGCCACTCTGTGGGAGAAAGATGAAGCAATCTGCTTCCGTAAAGATTTACAGCCTTAGAAACACTATGGGGCAGTTCTACTCTGTCCCATAGGGTCTCTGTGAGTCAGAAACAACTTGATAGCAGTGGATTTTTATTTGTTTGTTTTTTGGTCATTGTCATTATTATCATTTTTATGACTAACTCTCCTTGGAATCAGACAGATCTGGTTTGAAATCCCACTTTTGCCATTCCCTAGCCATGTGACCCTAAGCTTATCACTAACTCATCATTTCTTCATCTGTACAATGGGGAGAATTATGTCTACATCATGGGGTTATTAAGAATAATAAATGAAAAAGACATACAGAAATTGCCTAGCACTGGGTGCTCACCAGATGGACAATACCCACCCTTTGCCCTGCTCCCTCTTTTTCAAGGTATCCTCTTCCCATTCCCTCCCCCACCTTGAGCACCTCACCTTAGAAGACAGCAGGTGGTGGAACTGGGGGGTGAGATAGAACTGGATGCCCTTCCAGGCCCCTGGGAGGGTGACTCCACGAACCAGCAGCATGAGCAGGATGAGGTAGGGGAATGTGGCCGTGAAATACACCACCTAAGACCATGGGTGGGAGCGAGGGCAGGTGACTTTCCTTCTCCCTTGGTCCTCCTCCTGAAATTCCCATCTTAGTTACTTGCCTCCCCACTCTTCACATCACCCAAGCTGGGAATCAGCCATCATCCATGATGCTGCTCTTTTCTTCCTCCCTCCCTCTGTCCCTTTCTCCTTCCACACATCCAGCCTATCAGCAAAGTCCTGTCTCCCTGCTTCCAAAGACCACCCCACATTCATCCACTCCATTTTCACTGTGGGTCTGCTTTAGACCACATTTCATTACAATTCACTTGGATGATGACAGGAGTCTCCTTGTGGCTCTCCTTCCCCCATGGCTAGCTCCCCTCCTCCCACAAACCCAGTTCTTGTGGTTATCCAACAGTCAACATTCCCAAACTCCCCTCTGCTCTTTCCTCTTCCTTTCCCCATAGCTCCAGCCATTCCTCTCCACAAACACTATCAGGTCCCAACATCTTCACTCCCTGACTAGGCCATGATTATCTTCCCTCTCTAAATGGTTTCTACTCTATCTTTTCAATCTTCCTTTTAATTGCTCTGTTCCTCTTTGGACAACACTTCTCAGCACTTTCCAGAAGGACAAGTTCTAATTTATAAATGATTGAAGAAACTCAGATCTTTCTGAAACAGTTTTATCATCTTCCCACTCCTTCATAACCTAAAGTAGATATCTGTGTCTTTGCCCTCCCAGCATCTAGTTTGATATCTTCAGGCAACAGTACCTCAACTTCCCCTAGATGGGGCTGAATCCATCCCCAGTTCCAGGGGTGAGCACAGGACCCAGCCCCAGCCAATCAGATAACTCTACTCTCCTGGCTATAGTGATTTGTTCAAGGATGGGTACAAGATGCAGCTTATCCAATGAGACCTAACTCTGGGGCATTTACAAACTGTGGGAAGATAGAGCTCTTCTTAAGTAGATAAAATGCAAGCCTAGAGCTTTTCTCCAACCACACAAAGAAATGTAGCCTGAGAAGAAGCCAATCTAGAGGAGAGTATTACTGAGAGCTCATGAGAGTCAAATTCCTAATAATATTCTTTGAACACCTAGATCCACCTATACCTGAAGCACAACTTCTGGACTTTCCAATTGAGTGTAACAATTGGCTTCCACACATTTTTATCTCAGAGAGCCCTGACTAACATACCTACCCTCCAAGCACTCAAGAAACATTTGCACAAGGAACATTTCCAAGTGCGAAGCACTGGGTAAGGATGCAAACTAAATAACATACGGTCCTGTCCTTGACAGGTTTCTATTCTAGTCAACCAGCCTCACCCTCCATATACCCTCACTGCCACATCTTTCCTCAAGCAGTGCACTTCCATCCAATCTTGAAACCCTCTCCTTTCCCCTCTTTCCAGCTGAAATCTGTTCACCTGTTCACCCTCTCAGGCTCAGTTGGCACCCTACTTCCTGCACAGAACCCCCACCCTAGACCTCCAGGGCCTCCTAGGCTTCACCTTGCCCGAGGACTTGACACCTTTGAGGATACAGAGGAACACGATAACCCAGGCAAGCAGCAGGCAGAGGCAGAGGTTCCAGCGGATATTACCAGGACTCCCGATGCCCTGGCTGCCTTGGATGTGAAGGACGTAGCGGCTGTGGGAGACATGCATGGAGTAAATCTGTGTCCAGCCTGTGAGGTTGTACTGGCCGTTCTCCATTTGACATCCTTCCTGATCCTTCTCTGTCCTTCGACCAGCTCTGTGCCCCTGAGGCTGGCCTCTACACCACCCAGCCTCCCTGTCTCTTTGGCTTCCCTGCAGGTTTGGCCAATGGCAGGCATCAGCAGAGGACTGGAGGGTGTGAGGAGTGAAGGATTAGGGTATTTATATGCACACATGTGCACACACACCATCCAAGTTATGCAAATGGCTCCATTCTTCTGCAGCCATAGCTTCTGTTGGGCAGACCCTCTTCTAAGGCTCCAATTCTCCCCTGGTTCCAGTAACATGGTTTCCTACTCTTGCTTCTTTGGTTTAGGGGAAGGAGTAAGTCTCCCAATTGCTAGTTGCTGGTGCCTCATCTTTCTTTGTGATCTTCTTAACCTCTGTAAAGGCGCTTCATTAAACTCTCTTTAATTAGACCCTTAGAGAGTGCCATCTGCTTCCTGCCTGTACCCTGACAGAAGCTGTCAGCCCTGGCATTTCCATGCAGCAGCTGCCAATGACCATGTCACATTCTTTGGCTTTAAGCTGAAGACCTGAGCCAGTCCTTCCTTCTGGTCAAACATGCTCTTCAGCGGGTACATGGACTTTAGATGGATTTTGTCTGGACAAATGAATGAACTATGTAATAGAGGCAGGTTGTGACCCATTAAGGGAAAATTCCTGATAGCAGCCCTTTACAAGAAAAGGGTTGGGGATACCTGGTGTGTATCCTCTGGACAGCCAATGTCCCCTATCCAGAAACCAGGCTAAGCTGTATTATAGAATCTGGAGTCCTAAGCTCCCTGTCCTTGCCACAGCAACTGAGCAAGCCTCTGAACCTTGTTTTCTCAGCTATAAAATGGCCAACAGGATGGAATGATGGTCAATGATGTCTTTTGACACCTGCATTCACGGAAGGCTGGCACTGTGGTAAAAGTTTTGATCCTCACAACATTCCATTACTACATTATAGTCTTATCTCTCCTATTGGATGAATATGAGATGGGCCTTACTATGTATGGTTCAAACCCAACGCTAAGGGCTTTACCTATACATATAGTAGTTGCTCAATAAACATTTATTGAAAGAATGAATGAATGAACAGGTGACTGAAAAACATCCTAGGAAGAAGGTACCAATATTATGCCCTCTTTACAGAGGAGGAAACTGAAGCTCTAAAAGGTTACTATCACTGCTGTCATCATCATCATTATCAGGTACCATTTATTGAGCACTTACTATATCCACCAGGCTGGATTGTACGTTTTATATGGATTCTTTCTTTTAATCCACACAACAAGCTCTGAAATAGCTCCTATTATCATTCTCCATTTTAAGGATGATGCAACAGAAGCCAAATCAATTGTTCAAGGTCACATAGCTGGTTAGGTGAAGACCTGAGATTAGAACTCAGAGCCCACCGAACACTTGCACACGGATTTGGCCTTCAAGGCCCATGCTGAATCCTTGGGGATGCCATCTCATTCCTTCCCTTAGCTCACCCTTAACAATGCATGGGGGAGGGTGTTCCTATCACCATAGTCTGGGCCTGACCTCCAATACTCCTCGCTGGGGCTGACGGTGCTGGTGAGGTTGAGGGGCAGAACCCCGTTGCCACCCTTGGAACCTCTGTGTTCCAGGCAGAGGTCCGTGTTCCACCAGTTGCCGCAGTGCTCCCAGGGTAGGTTGCTGGTGAGGGAAGCGAAGAGGTAGAAGAGGACGTAGGCGATGATCATGTTGTAGTAGATGGCTACCAGGCCTACGATGAGCAGCATGGCCGCACCGGCACCTGGGGGTGGGGCAGAGAGGCTGCTGGTCAGGCCCTCCTCTGGGCCAGGCTGGATGACCTCCAGAAAGCCTCCATCTTTCTGGACCTTACGTCCCTCTTTGCCTTGAGGAGGGTAGGAGGCAACCTCCCAGCCTCCCTCAGGTCCAACCCACCCTGTGACCACTGAGGGCTCACCTTTGAAAAGAGGGCTGATTTTCCAGACAGCCAAAGGTCCCAGGCTGGAGAACTGGCCCAGAGACAGCTCCAGGAAGAAAAGGGGGATGCCACAGATGGCCAACATGAGGAAGTAGGGCACAAGGAAAGCGCCTGTGACAGAGGAGGGAAGGTGGGAGGAGTCTCATGTGGGTCAGCCCTACACAGCCCAGCTTAAGCCCTGTCCCTTCCCTGACCTGCAGAGACTACCTGGAGCCTTGATGGAGCACCTCTTACATGGATTGGGACTGTATATGCAGATCTGTCTTCTCTTTTATACCTGGAGATCATTGAGGATTGAGGAGGGTGGGGAGGAAGTTTACTCCCTTAACAGAGTGAGGCTGAGAACACTGGAGAAATACCCATGGAGTGAAGGGATGAATCAATGAGTGAGTGCATGGATGGATTCCTCACTGAAGAAAGTGCTAACTCCTCAGTATTCAAACCAGTGCCCTTCAGAATGTGGCTCCAATCTAGTTGTCCCTTACCCTCTCCCCATGCCACTTATGGTTTGATTGGCCTAACATCCCTTCCCCTTTTCTTCTTATATTGGCATCCTTCTCCTTTAGTGCACTGCACACCACACACACACACTCCATATGGCCCTGGAAGGGCTAGTGGCCACACCAGCCAGCTCACTCTGGGCACAGAGCCCAAGCCAGGCCAACTGGAGACCTTCCCTGTGATTCTATATAGATTCGTTCAGAGAGAAGTTCAGGCCTTCCACTAGGGTTACTAAGTCTGGAGAAGATGAGATCATTCCAGAGTTGTCTGTGACCACACCCCATCCCACCACAGCGGGGATGCTGTCTCAGGACAAAATGAGGTCAGTACACAGAGAAATAGAGTGGAGAAATGGGGAGAGAGAGAGTAGAGAAAGAATTGTGAACATTATTGAGTTTTTGGAGTTCAGAAGCTAGCTCTAGCCCTACACTTTCTAGTTATATAAACTTGCCTTTTCTTTGCTTAATCTAGTTTTATTTGTGTTTCTGTCACTTTACCAACATATAGTTAGTTGTTAATGAGTTTGGTAGAAGTGAGAGGAAATATCATGTGCTGGTGAGAGCACATTGGCTCTGGAGAAGACAGTCCCGGCTTGGAATTTTGAGTCTGTCACTGTGTGACCTTGGTATGGAACCAGGCCTCTCCAAGCACCTGCAGCCTCATCCTTATAGAGGTACTGGCTCAGGAGGATTGTCATCAGAGTTAAATGAGAGAGGGCATGGACAGCACCAAGCCCAGGGTCTGACATATGGCAAGTGCTCAACCCTAGCTATTGTTAATGAGGCTAGAGCTGTAGCTGGATGGAGAAGCCAAGATAAAAGAGAATTCTGTTAACATGGAAGAGATGTGGTATTTATAGTCTGAGTGAAAGGAACCAGAAGAGGCAAGATTGAAGATTAAAGGAAGAGGAAATGATTGAAGGAGCAAGGCTGTGGAGGATGGGGTGGGGGAGTAGAGGAATATAGAGAGCACAGACATCTTTGACAGGCAGACACAATCCTGTATCATGAGCAGAGGGAGCCCCTCCATCCATCACTCAGGGCCCAGGAAGTATCCAGCCTTAGGGAGACACGTATAGGGCTTCCAGCTCGGAGTGGAAGGGGTAGTGCTTGGGTGATTAAAGGAAACAAGGTAGAGTGAGTTCCCACTTCCCACTCCCAGGTCATTATAAACTACTTTCAGCTAATTCTGCCCACAGTTATGGAGAAGACAAACCTTACTCCCCCAGAACCTGGTCCATCACCCTAGTCACACTTGAGCAGGATCTCAGACCCATACCTCCTCCATTGGTGTAGGCACGATAAGGGAACCGCCAAACATTCCCCAGGCCCACACAGTAGCCGATGCAGGACAGCAGGAAGTCCAGCTTGCCTGTCCAGTTCCCCCGGTCAGCAGCAAAGTCCACATCTAGGTCTACATCACCCTGGTCACTGGGGGTCATCAGCAGGTCTGGGGTGACGGGCTGCTAGTGAGAGAAGAGAGAGGTGAGGAGAATGGTGAGGCAGGCCAAAACTGTAACCCCAAATAGGAGTATGGAATTGAGTGGGGTGAAAGGTAAAGACAGGAGTCCCTGAGTGGTACAACAAGTTAGCGCCTGGCTACTGACTAAAAGTTTGACAGTTCAAATCTATCCAGAGACAGCTCAGAAAAAAGTCCTGGCAACTTACTTCTAAAAATTGGCCACTGAAAACTCTCTGGAGCACAGTTCTAATCTGAAACGCATGGAGTTGCCATGAGTTAGAATTGACTTGATGGCAACAGGTTTGGGGTTTTTGTTTTAGTTTTATAAAGGTAAGAACATTATATTGGTTCAGATAATCAATTGCTGTCATCTGGGCTGACTACAAACTTACTGGATGAACAGGGTGGCTTAGACACTAAGAAAGCTAACTTGATCTTAGTTTGGCTACCACAGCAGCCAAATCAAGGGCTGGTCCTATTTTGATGATGACAATGATGATGATGATAATCTTAATAAGCAAACTAAAAAACAAACCTGTTGCCATTGAAGGGAGGTCTGGTAGCACAGTGGTTAAAGTATTTAGCTGCTGCCAAAAGGTCAGTGGTTCAAACCCACCAGCCACTCCATGGGAGAAAGATGAGGTGGTCTGCTTCTGTAAAGATTTACAGCCTTGGAAGTCTTATAAGGCAGTTCCACTTTGTTCTATAGGGCCACTATTGAGTAGGAATCGACTCAACAGCAAGGGGTTTTGTTTGCTTTTTGGTTGTCATCATCAAAAAGAACATTTCAAGATCTGTCCTGAAATACAATGCTATGGCAGATAGGATAATATCCATATGCCTACAAGGAAGACCAGTTAATACTACTGTTATTCAAATTTATGCACCAATCACTAAAGCCAAAGATAAAAAAAAATGAAGATTTTCACCACCTTCTACAGTCTGAAATTGACCAAACATGCAATCAAGATGTATTGATAATTACCAGTGATTAGAATGCAAAAGTTGGAAACAAGTTAGCATCAGTAGTTGGAAAACATGGCTTTGGAGATATAAATGACACTGAAGATTGCATGACAGAATTTTGCAAAACTTGTTCATTGCAAATAACTTTTTTCAACAACATAAATGGCTACTGTACACATGAACTTCTTCAGATGGAATATACAGGAATCAAATCAACTATATCTGTGGAAAGAGGCAATGGAGAAGCTCAATAGCATTAGTCAAAACAAGGCCAGGAGCTGACTATGGAACAGACCATCCATTGCTCATATGCAAGTTCAAGTTGAAGATGAAGAACATTAAAATAAGTCCATGAGAACCAAAATATGACTTTGATTATATCCCACCTGAATTTAGAGACCATCTAAAGAATAGACTTGACACACTGCACACAGTGACTGAAGACCAGATGAGTTGTGGGATGATATTAAGATCATTATACATAAAGAAATTAAAAGGTCATTAAAAAGACAGGAAAGGAAGAAAAGACCAAAATGGATGTTAGAAGAGACTCTGACACTCTTGAACAGAGAATAGCTAAAGCAAATGGAAGAAATCATCATTTAAAAGAGCTGAGCAGAAGTTTTCAAAGGGCAGCTCGAGAAGACAAAATAAAATATTATAATGAAATGTGCAAAGACCTGGAATTAGAAAACCAAAAGGGAAGAATATGCTTGGCATTTCCCAAGCTGAAAGAATTGAAGAAAAAAATTGAAGCCTCTAATTGCAATACTGAAGGATTCTCTGGGCAAAATATTAAACGATGTATCTTCACTTGAAGATGGAAAGAATATACAGGGTCACTGTACCAAAAAGAGTTGGCTGATGTTCAACCATTTCAGGAGGTGACATATAGTCAAGAACCAAAGGTATTGAAGGAAGAAGTCCAAGAAGCTCTGAAGGAACTGGAATAAAAAACAAGGCTCCAGGAATTGATGGGATACTCATTAAAATGTTTCAAAAAATAGATGCAGCACTGGGGGCACTTAATCATTTATGTCAAGAAATCTGGAAGATAGCGACCTGGCCAACTGACTGGAAAAGAACCATATTTGTGCCCATTCCAAATAGAGGTGATCCAAAAGAATGTAGGTATTATCGAGCAATATCATTAATATCACACGCAAGTAAAATTTTGCTGAAGATAAATGGTTGCAACAATATGTTGGCAAAGAACTTCCAGAAATTCAAGCCAGATTCAGAAGAGGACGTAGAATGAGGGATATCATTGCTGATGTCAGATGGATCTTGATTGAAAGCAGAGAATACCAGAAAGATGTTTATCCATGTTTTATTAACTACACAAAGACATTTGACTGTGTAGATCATAACAAATTATGGATAACATTGCGAAGAATAGGAATTCCAGAACACTTAATTGTGCTCATTAGAAACCTGTACATAGACCAAGAGGCTTTGTTCAAACAGAACAAGGGGATACTGCATGGTTTTAAATAAAAAAGGGTGTGTATCAGGGTTGTATCCTTTCACCACACTTATTCAATCTGTATGCTGAACAAATAATCTGAGAAACTGGACTATATTATGACACAACCTTGCTTGCTAAAAGTGAAGATGACTTGAAGCAAAGACTTCAGTCTTCAGCATGGATTATACCTCAACATAAAGAAAACAAAAATCCTTACAACTGGACCAGTAAGCAACATCATGATAAATGGAGAAAAGATTGAAGTTGCCAGAGATTTCATTGTACTTGGATCCTCAACCAACACCCATGGAAGCAGCCATCAAGAAATCAGACGTTGTATTGCACTGGGCAAATCTGCTGCAAAAGACCTCTTTAAAGTGTTAAGGAGTGAAGATGTCTCTTTGAGGACTAAGGTGCACCTAACCCAAGCCATAGTATTATTTTCAGTCGCCTCATATGCATGAGAAAGCTGAACAACAAATAAGAAAGAATGAAGAAGAGTTGATGTCTTTGAATTATGGTGTTGGTGAAAACTACTGAAAATACCATGAAATGCCAGAAGAACAAACAAATCTGTCCTGGATCAAGTGCAGCTGGAATGCTCCTTAGAAGAAAGACTTCATCTCACCTACTTTGGTCATGTTGTCAGAAAGGACTAGTCCCTGGAGATGGATATCATGTTTGGTAAAGTAGAGGGTCAGTGAAAAAAGGGAATATCGTCAAGGAGATGGATTGACACAGTGGCTGCAACAGTGGGCTCAAGCATAGCAGGGATTGTAAGGATGGTGCAGGGCCCGGCAGTGCTTCGTTCTGTTGGACAGAGGGACACTGTGAGTTGGAACTGACTTGATGACGCCTAACAACAACAACATGTGCCGGTTGAAACTTGCTCTTGAATGTAGAGTAGCTACAGCAAGTGGAAAAAATGATGAAGTAAAGGAGCTGAAAAGAAGATGTCAAAGGATAGCTTGAAAAGACAAAGTAAAGTATTATGAGTTGTGCAAACACCTGGAGTTAGAAAACCAAAAGGGAAGAACATTCTCATCATTTCTCAAATGAAAAGAACTGAAGAAAAAAATCAAGCCTTGAGTTGCAGTATTAAAGGATTCTATGGGCAAAATATTGAAAAACACAGGCAGCATCAAAAGAAGAAGGAAGGAATGCACAGAGTCACTATACCAAAATGAATTGGTTGACATTCAACCATTTCAGGAGGTAGCATATGATCAAGAACTGATGGTATTGAAGGCAGAAGTCCAAGCTGCACTGAAGGTGCAAAACAAGGCTTGGTGAAAAACAAGGCTTCAGGAATTGATGGAATACGAAGTGAGATGTTTCAAAAATAGATGCAGTGTAGAAGCGCTCACTCATCTATGCCAAGAAATTTGGAAGACAGCTACCTGGCAAACTGACTGGAAGATACCCATATTTATGTCCATCCTAAAGAAAGGTGATCCAACATAAAGTGGAAGTTATCAAACAATATCATTAACACCACATGCAAGTAGATTTTGCTGAAGATAATCCAAAAATAGTTGCAGCAGTATATTAACAACTGCCAGAAATTCAAGCTGGATTCAGAAGAGGATATGGAATGAGTGATAACACTGCTGATGTCAAATAGATCTCAACTGAAAGCAAATAATACCAGAAAGATGTTTACCTGTGTTTTATTTACTATGCAAAGACATTTGACTGTGTGCATCATAACAAATCATGGATAACATTGCAAAGAATGGGAATTCCAGAACACTTAATGGTGCTCATGAGGAATCTGTACATAGACCAGGAGGCTGTTGTTTGAACAGGCTGTTGTTTTAAACTGCATGGTTTAAAATCAGGAAAGGTGTGCATCAGGGTTGTATCCTTTCACCATACTTGCTCTGTATGCTGAAGAGATAATCTGAGAAGCTGGACTATATGAAGAAGAATGCAGCATCAGGATTGAAGGAAGACTCATGAACAATCTGCAATATGCAGATGACACAGCCTTTCTTGCTGGAATGAAGAGGACTTGAAGAATTTATTGATGAAGATTAAAGACTACAGCCTTCAGTGTGTGGTCTATGGTGCAGTCAATTACTTAATGTGGCTCTTTTAGCCATGAGCTTTGTGACTCCTACCAGATGACTAGGAGCTCTGGTAGTGTAGTGCCTAAGGCACTGACTGCTTACCAGAAGGCTGGTGGTTCAAACCCACCAGCCACTCCTTGGAAGGCAGATTGGGCAATCTACTTTTGTAGTGATACTGCCTCAGAAACCCAAGGAGGCATCGCTATGAGTTGGGTCCGACTTGACGGCACCTAACAACAATAACAACAACAATCAGATGACTAGATGGAGCTGTGCAAATGTAATGTGGCTGTGGCCCACTAAGGGGATTGGACAGCTTGCAAATAATGTAAATAAGTTACATGGCACCCTTGTCAGGGTGGGACCGTACAAATAAAGTGTATGAAATCCTAGTGTGGGGAATGGTCAGTTTTGCCTTCTTGCTAGGTTTAAAATGAGCTATTTTGGGGCAAAAGGGGCGAGGGGAATCTCACTACCATGATAGAATATCCAGGA